AGCACTGTTCCACTTGAGCCACAGCACTACTTCCGACTTTTTCTACTTATGTGGTGCAGAGGAATCGAACCCAGGGCCTCATGCATGCGAGGCAAGCACTCTACCACTGAGCCACTTTCCCAGCCCTCCACTCTAATATTATTGATTTGAATCTTTCAAGATTAGCTAGGGATTAATCTTATTTTTTCAGAGAACTTTTATATTTTATTTGTATAATATTTTGGTCTCCAATTCATTAATTTCTGCCTAATTTTTACTATTTTTGTTCATTTTGCTGGTCCTGGGGCTTGAACTCTGGGCCTGGGCACTGTCCCTGGGCTTATGCTCAAGGCCAGCCCTCTACCACTTGAGCCACAGCTACCCTTCCAGTTTTCTGGTGGTTAATTGAAGATAAGTCTCATGGACTTTACTGCTTGGGCTGGCTTCAATCCACAATCCTTAGATCTCAGCCTCCTGAGTAGCTAGAAATACAAGCATGAGCCACCAGCGCCCAGCTATGTCTATACTATTGTTGTATTGTTATTTTCTTCCTCTAAGTATAATATCAGAAGGCTATTTGGATGTTTACTAGTAATTTTTGTGATGTAGGCATTCTTGGCTATAAATTTTCTCTCAGCATGACAGTCTTTGCTATGTATGTCCCAAAGATTCTGATGTGTTTTCATTTGCATTAGTTTCCAGGAACTTTTTGACTTTTCCTCTTATTTCTTCAGTGATTCATGTCTATCAACAGTGGTTGTTTGGTCTCCATGTATTTGAATATTTTCTGTAGGATCTTTTGCTGTTGAGCTCTAGTTTAAATCCATTATGATCTGACATGATATGTTCAATTGACAGGTTGAATTGAAACTCTTTGGTACATTTAAAGATTTTTTTTAAAAAAACATAATTTCAGTTTTCTTGTGTTTTCTCATATTTGCTATACTCCTAAGATATGGTCTGTTTTGAGGAAATTTCCATGGCCTGCTGAGAAGAGTATGTATTGTACTACCACAGGGCAAAATACTCTGTAGATGTGTTAGGTTCATGGTGCCATTCAATTCTGAGGATCTTTTTTTTTTTTTTGCTTGATGACCTGTCTGTTGGTGAGATTGGGTAGACATATATTTAAATGTTTAAACACCTGATGAACTTAGTCTAAGTAATGGTACAATTTCACATTTCTACAGCAGAATGCATTCCAGGTGCTCCATCTTCTCATACTTAAGCCATTCCAGTAGATGTGTGCTGGTATGTATAAGTTTTCATTTGATGGAAGAAGTCCATCAAATTTGTATTCAGAGCTAAGAAGAGGCCAACTGAACAGGAGAGCAAGGCCAAGTGTCAAGTGTCTCTCAGATTCCAAATGTCTTTGGAGAGATGGCAGCTATAGTAAAAAATTTAACTCTGGGGGCTGGGAAGTTGGCTCAGTGGTAGAGTGCTTGCCTTGCATGCCTGAGGCCCTTGGTTCAATTCCTCAGCACCACATAAGCAAAAAGAAAAAAGCCGTAAGTGGCACTGTGGCTCAAGTGGTAGAGCACTAGCCTTGAGCTGAAGAGCTGAAGGACAGCGCTCAGGCCCCACAACCGGACCCCCCCCAAAAAAAAAAATTAACTCTGGCTGGGATGTAGCTCAGTGGCAAAGTGCTTGCTTAGCAGGTGCAACACTCCAGGTTCGATCCCCAGTACCATTAAAAAAAGGGGGGGGCTGGGAAGATGGCTCAGTGGTAGAGTACTTGCCTTGCATGCCTGAAGCCCTGGGTTCGATTCCTCAGCACCACATAAGCAAAAAGAAGCAAGCCGGAAGCGGTGCTGTGGCTCAAGTGGTAGAGCGCTAGCCTTGAGCTGAAGAGCTGAGGGACAGTGCCCAGGCCCCGAGTTCAGGCCCCACGACCAGACCCCAAAAAAAAAAGTAACTCGGGTCAACACACAAACCATTGATGTGGTAGCCTCCATGGCCTCTAGCAGCTTTGGGAAACAGACCTCCTAAGTCCACACTGAATGCCAGTGGGCCCTAGGGGAGAAACTTCTCATTGGATCTGGCTAGCAGGGGCATCTGAAAACTGGGGGAGACACAAAATAAGAGGAGCAGTTGTTGCACAGGGACCTGAGTGCTGCCTAGGAAGAGCAGTAGCCCCATACATGATGTCTTAGTTAAGCAGATAGCACTCCTGCCTTGGTGAATGCCACCTCACTCACAGCTGATGGCCCAGGAGCCCCACTGGCTTCATGAAAATGCATCTGTCATAGGTGCCTGACAAGAAACAAGTGCTGAAATCTTGTGTTTCAAAAGTAGCCTCTGCCTTGTTACTATTTATGTTTTTTAGAGTGCAAAATGTGGGGGAAGGAAGAAGTACAAGAGCCACCTAAAGATACAGCATAGCTCACAATTACACAGTACAGATTTGGCCAAAGACAAACTTACAGAGCAGCCAGTTTGGGAAGGCAAGGCATACATTACACAGCATTCACACTAGTTATGTAGTTCCTGGAATCCTATCAAGAAAACTCTTTGGTGATGATGGAATAAAAGTTTACACAGTTACAAATACACAGACTTTCATTTGTAAAGAAACACATTGTTTTTAATACCTACAAACATCATTTTCTTGAATCAGCACACATGCCAAACAGGTACTACCTCGTCACCCCTCCTGGCATCCAGGACCCCGAGGGTCTTGGGTGACAAGGGCCTAGATACATGGAGGACAGTTCATTGACAAGAGGTAGGTAGAGAATGCAATTCAGCAGAGGTGGATGGGACCAAGAACACCTTCCCAGGCCCAGGGGACGCACAGGAATACCCACAGGTGCAGAGGATCAAATACTTTTCCCAAGTGAACTTGAGTCAGGGATGTTTTCTCCCAGTGTTATTCTCCAAGCCCCCCAAAAAGTTACTGGCATACGGCAGGGCTTTAGTAAATAGGAGCAAATCAAGAGAACACAGAAAAAAAGCATTTTATAGACTATAAAGTGCCATCCAATATACCAGTTCATCTTCCAGATTCTAGGCAGATCTCTGAATTTTTTAAAAAATACTCTCATGTTTATTCAGTGACTGATAGCAAAATATTAATTTCCTAATAGCTGTTGTTATAGTGCAGGGAAAATCGGGATGGGGAAATGTTACAAAGGGCAGAATATTACAGCCAGACACAGGAGGCATGAAGAAAACAAACTAGTTTAAAGGAGGAATAGGAGAGGCTGGCATAACAGGGCTGTGACAGGATATGGCACACCACAGAATCTCTGTGCCAGGAGCACAGAAGGTGTTCAATAAATATTTATAAAATGGGAAAGGGAAGGGAGGGAGGGAGGGAGTCTGAGTTGATGTCTTGCAAGCAGCACTGGGCTCTCAGGAAAATGAGTTCCAGGCTGCTGACCATATGACAGATGGCAATGAGCCAAGGAATGCTGAAGCGCCCTAGAGCTTCCCTGCATGCCAAGGGAAACTGTCCATGCCACTGCTGCGCCCTGCACTTGCACCCTCACCCACCAGCCAGGCACATGGGGGGGGTCTCACTGCACTGGGGGTTCTTGGCGATGCTGGGTCTTCTGGTGCCGGTTGAGAATGGACCTCTGGTTGAAGCTGCGCCCACAGGCAGGGCAGTGGTAGGGCTTCTCACCAGTGTGGATCCTCTGGTGGCGGACCAGGCGCTCACCCTTGCTGAAGCGCTTCCCACACACCTGGCAGCCGTAGGGCTTCTCACCAGTGTGGGCGCGCCGGTGCACAGCCAGGTTGGCATTCCTGCTGAAGCTCTTGCCACACTCGCAGGTATAGGGCTTCTCACCGGTGTGTGTCCTGCGGTGCACCTGCAGATGCTGGCGGCGGCTGAAGCTCTTCCAGCAGTCAGCACACTTGTAGGGCTTCTCACCCGTGTGGCTCCGCTGGTGCACTTCCAGGTGGTGCCTCTGGCTGAACGTCTTCCAGCACTCGCTGCACACATAGGGCCGCTTCCCCAGGTGTGTTCGCTGGTGCTTGGTGAGATATTCCCTCAGGGTGAAACCCTTCCCACACTCCACACAGCCAAATGCCTTCTCCTCCTCGTGGGTCCTCTGGTGGCGGACCAGGTTGGAGCTCCGACTGAAGCCTTTCCCGCACTCAGGACATTGGAAAGGCTTCCACGAACTGTGGACATGGGGGGCATCAGGCAGGGGGACACCATGCTGGGGTGCCGGAAGTCCAGGCAAGTCACCCGCAGGGCCCCCAGACTCCTGCTCACAAGCTCGTCCGGGGCCAGGCCCCTGGACAGCAGCTTCTGCAAACCTCTCAGGAGCCAGCCCATCGAATGCCCCTTTCAGGTCCTCCTCATGGGGCTTTGCATCCTTGTCCTTGCTCCCTGAACCTATGAAGCAAAGGTTAATACTGATGCTGTGACCACAAGGAACTACTGCCCACAGGAGTCCAAGAACTGCTCTTCTCCCTCACCCCTCTTTTCCCTTCTTTTCCCTCTTTTCCCTTCCCTGACAGGTTCCAACAGCTGACAGCTGCGCCGCTTGCTACTGCCCCTTCAGTCCTACAAAATCCAACAAACACATTCCTCTCAGAGTATGAGGATTTGCTCTCCATGGCATCTTCTGCACTATACTCAGTCCTTGTTCAGCATTTTGTCACCTGCTTCCTATGGCAAACATTAACACTAACCATATGGTTCTCCCTGTCCTCTTGCTCAGCTCCTGCCCTCATGCTGCCTCCTCTGCCCAACCTCCTCTGTCACTCATTGGGCTTCCTAGCAGGGGTCACCTGCAGGAAGATGGCCATCAGTGCTGGCTGAATGGATGAGCCTGGTCTGCCCCCTATGCTGACACAGCTGTCAGGAATGAAATGATCTGAATGTCACTACAACCCAACCTCATCCTTTTTTGCCCTAATTCTGGTCCTTCTACAACTCTATAATCTACGGAGACAACTGTTACTAGAGAATGAAGAATACCAAAGAGGATGAAATAAACCAGGCACTGGTAGCTCATGCCTGTAATCCTAGCTACTCAGGAGGCTGAGATCTGAGGATCATGGCTCAAAGCCAGCCCAGGCAGCAAAGTCCTGGAGACTGTTATCTTTAATTAACCACCAAAAAAGCCAGGAGTGGAGCTGTGGCTTAAGTGGTAGAGTACTAAGCCTAGGCACAAAAGCTCAGAGACAGCACCCAGGCCCTGAGTTCAAGCCCCAGGACTGGCACAAAAGAAAAAAAAAGGCAGAAATGACGGTGGCACTTAAAGAAGGAGAAAACCCTTTCAGGTAAGTCCAGGACCACATGAAAATCCCAGCTACTCCATCAGGAGGTTGAGATCTGAGCATGGAGGTCCCAAAGCCAGCCTAGGAAGAGTTATCACCACTGATTTATTCTTTATGAACTTTTCATGAAGGGCACAAAATATGAATGCAGAGCTCAAAGAATTTCCATATTGAGCACAATCTTGTAAAGAGCTCCACTCCCAACTGCATCTCCACCCAGGCCTCTCAAGCCCGGAGATGCCTATCTGGTAAGGGTGGACTGGGAATCCAAAGGATCTGAGAGCCCACAAACCATGTCCCCAGATTCACAGGCCAGGACCACAAGCAGCTCAGGCCCAGCCCCTGTGGCTGTCACTGCAAGGACAAGATGACATGGAATGAATGCCAGAAGTGGGGAAGGGTCTGGAAAACAGAACTTCATATCACCCAACAGAAACAACTTGGGACATGTGCCAGTTAGTTTTGAAACATGGAGCTAGTGAGGAGACAGGCAATATGCTCAGCGTCTCCATAACAATCAGAAACAGCCAGAAGGGTAGAAAACCACATGGAGGCATGGTAGAAGTTCATCTCTATGGGGGTTGGGATCATGGCACTGGGGAGCATCATAGAGCCCCTGTTTTAGGCAGTTGTTTATCCTAAGGGCTTGCTTCCATGTCCTTGGTCATCATATCAACCCCAGGGCTCCATGTAAAGCATGCCTGCCTTAGAAGGATAACCTGGCTACACCCATGTCTCCCAATCCCTCACCACCCAGGGCTCTTCCCAGTTCCTGGAACCACTGTGGCATGACTTGGCCATCACATAAACTATCAGACCCTCGAGGCAAGCATGCTTCCCCTTAGGATTGGGTTTTACTATGCAGCCCAGCCTGGCCTCAGCCCACCACATGGCACCACCATGCCTGGCTTAGAGGCAAGCCCATTATTTTTCTTGACTGTACTGGGGACAGAACTGGGGTTTGAACTCAGAACTTTGCACTTGCTAGATAGGAGCACTACATAAGCTACACCTCCAGCAGCACTTTTATTTTTAACTCTTCATTGACCAGCAGAGCTCTGCCGTACAGTAAAATACCAAGTTAACCTTCATAGGTGAATAAATATCAACTGGCCTATAAAAGAGTCAGTAGTATTTATATAACTAAGAAAAATATCTGACACCACTGTCTGACACATGTCCCCTTTCAGCCTCACAAAGCCTGAGGCCATGCCTGTGTACAGCCCATTTCACAACTGGGACGGCTAAGACTTGGGCATCAAGGGAAATGCCCAAGGTGGTGGTTAGGAGGCAGTGGCCAGAGGGCATCTTCTGTCCTGAGGGACAGTCCTCACTCATCCCTTAAGTACAGGAAGGTGAGCAAAGACTAGGAACTACTATCAATATACAATTTACCAAGTTATAAGAGGAAACAGAACTGGTGGGAAAGAAGACAGCTTCTCCCAGCCATGTGTCCTTTCTCTTCCTCGTCCTCATTGAACCTGAGATTTTCCACAGTCCTCCTGACTGGCAGACCTCCCGACTGGCAGACCTTCCATGCTGCCCTGGCTCTCTTCTGCTCCTATCATGTGTGGGATGGCTATGCCCTCACAGGTCATACCTGGCCACCAGCCAGGCTGCTGCCTCTATGACACAGGCCCACCCTGACCTCTCTCATTTCTAACACCTATTGCACATCCACACATGCACTTGTGGTCCAGCCCTACCTTCTTCCTGCCCTAACACAAAACTACAGCACAGGACCTGCACACAGAGTGCTCACTAACAACCTCCTGAATGAACAAGATCAGAAGTCCTCTTGTTTTCATCCTGCTGTCAGCCCTCCCTACCCTTTAATCAAGGACACACAGCAGATATATGTGGTTCCTAACGACCAACTGCCATGTGCAGCTACAATAACATCTTGGCATTTTCCTGCTCTCCGCTCAGACCCTACCCTTGACCCAAGAGCACACGCAGCCAGCGCCTTCCATCCCCAACCCATGCTCTTCTTGGGTACCATGGAAACCCCATCCCTTGCAAGTAGCACCAGGACAGGGCAAGACCCATTACATGTAGGTTCCAAAACTCCGGTCTTACCTGGAGGGCCCCCACAGTCCTGCGGTTCCACATATTCCCCAAAGCAGTCGATCTGGGCTGGGGTCACATGCCTCCACTCCTCCTCGGGGAAGACCAGGGCCATGTCTTTAAATGGCCCCAGTCCCTGAAACAGCAAGAGATTGCTAGAAGTGAAGAGTGCCTACAGCTGGTGCAGCCTTGTAATTCCAGCTACTTGGAATGTAAAGAGAAAGGATTGCAAGTACAAGGACAGCCCAAGCTATACAATGACACCTGTGTCAAAAAAAGAAAATAGAGTGGGCTGGGAAGGTGGCTCAGTGGTAGAGCGCTTGCCTTGCATGCCTGAGGCCCTGGGTTCGATTCCTCAGCACCACATAAGCAAAAAGAAAAA